TCCAACAAAAGATGGCTTCCAACTACAATCAGTTCGATGACTCCGACGATGACGAAGCTTTCAACCCGGCCCCCGCCGACGTCTCTGATGACGAGAATGCCAACGGCGATGCTGATCACCAGAGGAGCGACGCAAGGGATCACAGCCCTGCCCACGACGATGAAGAGGAGGAGTCGCCGGTTGCCGCCAAGTCTGGAAGTCGTGCTGTGAATGACGACGAGGCTGAAGAGGACGAAGATGATGAAGACGATCAGCCACGGGGCAGGGCCGGCGATGACGATGAGGATGACGAAGATGACGAGGATGACGAGGATGATGTTCAGCAGGTACGAACCCTCTGTGGCCTGGCCTCTGGTCGTGCATGTCCTCTGGAGCGCCAAGGTCGTTCACGCAGCGCGTGATATTAATGTGCATCTCGTAGGGTCATCGTCGCAAGCGCCACCGAGACAGGCGCGCCGCTTTCTTCGATATCGAAGCCGAGGTCGACGATGAGGAAGACGGCGAGGATGACGAAAAAGACGGCGAAGAGATAGGAGACTTCATCGACAACGAACATCCTGACGACGTCGTCGACACCGGAAGACTCAATGATGATCGCAGGCACCGCGAGCTTGACCGTCAGCGAGAGCTGGAGTCGAGCATGGACGCCGAGAAGCAAGCTGAGATCCTCCGCCAACGTTACGGCAATCGTCGCGCAGCCAAGGGCTTCGGTGACTCTACCGTGGTTCCCAAGCGTCTACTGATGCCTAGTGTTGACGATCCCACCATTTGGGCCGTGCGATGCAAGGAAGGAAAGGAGCGAGAGGTTGTCTTCTCTATTCAGAAGAGGATCCAAGAGCGCATGGGCACAAAAGAGGAGATGGCCATCATCTCTGCCTTTGAGCGTGGCGGCACCAACTCGGTCATGAAGGGCTACATTTACGTTGAGGCAGCGCGTTCTGGCGATATTATGGCCGCACTCGATGGCATGCTCAACGTCTACCCCCGGAGCAAGCTGATTCTGGTTGAGATCAAAGACCGTCCCGATCTTCTACGCGTCACCAAGACCGCAACCCTAGAGCCAGGCGCGTGGGTTCGGCTCAAGAGGCCACAGAAACACGCTGGCGACCTGGGTCAAGTCGTTGATGTTACCGAGAGCGGCCTCGAAGCTCGTGTTCGTTTCATTCCCCGACTGGACTATGGTGTACGGGACGACTCTGCCACCCAGATTACGGCTGATGGCAAACGCAAGCGTCCGGTCGGTATGCCCGGCCCCCGGCCTCCGCAGCGCCTCTTTAACGAGGCTGAGGCTCGCAAGCGACACCCTCGGTTCATCCAAGGCAACCCTCAAACCAAAATCTGGACCTACATGGGAGATGATTTCGAGAATGGCTTCCAGGTGAAGGAATACAAGATTCAGCAGCTGGTTGTTACCGATGTCAACCCCACTCTAGAGGAGGTCACCCGTTTCGCCTCAGGTGCCGAGGACGGCACGGAAAACCTCGATCTGAAGGCGCTTGCTGCAAGCTTGAAGGACAGCAACACCAACGTCACATACCTGCCCGGCGATGTCATTGAGGTGTACGAGGGTGAGCAGAAGGGCGTTGTTGGTCGAGCTACCACCGTTTCTGGTGACATTGTCACCTTGGAGGTTATCGAGGGTGTCTTGGCGGGTCAAGTCATCGAAGTGCCCACCAAAGGCTTGCGAAAGCGGTTCAAGGAGGGTGACCATGTCAAGGTCATCGGTGGTAGCAGGTTCCGGGATGAAGTTGGTATGGTTGTCAAGATTCAAGACGACCGTGTCACCTTTGTCACCGATCAGACCAACATGGAAGTCACCGTCTTCAGCAAGGATGTACGCGAGGCAAGCGACATGGGCGGCCAGGGGTCCCTCGGCCAGTACTCGCTGCTTGATCTTGTTCAACTGGATCCCACGACTGTCGGATGCATCGTTAAAGTCGATCGCGAATCGGTCGCTGTCCTCGACCAAAATGGCGACGCCCGTCAAGTTGTGCCGTCGCAAATCACCAACAAACTCCCTCAGAGAAAGATTGCTGTTGCGGCCGACAGAAACGGTTCAGAGATCCGCCTTGACGACGTTGTCCGTGAATGGGGTGGGCAGCAGAGACAGGGCAAGATCATCCACATCTACCGATCTTACATCTATCTGCACAGCCACGACAACAAGGAGAATGCCGGCGTATTTGTGACCAGGGCAGGCAACGTCACCACGATCGCAGCCAAGGGTGGGCGCGTGGTCCCCAGCGGCCCCAATCTGGACCAGATGAACCCTGCCATGAAGAGGCTTCCTGCTGGCTCTGATGGCAAAATGGCGCCTCCCAAGTCCTTTGGTCGTGATCGCGCGCTTGGCCAGACTGTCATTATCAAGAAGGGCGGCTACAAGGGCCTGCTGGGTATCGTCAAGGATACTACGGAAACACATGCACGGGTTGAGCTGCATACCAAGAGCAAAACCGTCAGTGTGCCCAAAGACCATCTCAGCTACAAGGACAAGAACACGGGAGCCGTTATCGACATTGGTGGCCGCGGAGGCCGTGGAAGGGGCGGCGGCTTCGGCAGCGGAGGTGGTCGCGGCGGCGGCGACTCGGGCTGGCAGGGAGGTCGCACACCCATGGCCGGCACGGAGCGTACTCCGGCGTGGGGCTCTAGGAGTAAGTTTCCCCCATCATCACTGGTGTTGAACTTGTCACTGACAAAGACACAGCGCCCGCAGCGAACCACGGTGGTAGAACCCCCGCTTGGAAGTCGAGTGGATCGGGTGATCTGGGTTCCCGCACGCCTGCATGGGCGGATGGCTCACGCACAGCTTATGGAGGTGATGGCAGCCGTACCGCCTATGGCAGCGGGAATCGAACACCGGCGTGGCAATCTGGTGCCCGTACGCCTGCCCCTGGTGGCGACGCGTTCGGCCTTGGATCGAGGACGCCAGCTTACGGCGCTGATACCTGGGGCTCCGGATCCAAGACGCCCGCCTATGGAGGAGCCTCGGCGCCAACGCCCGCTGCCAGTGGAGGTGATTCATGGGGCGGCTACTCAGCTTCCGCCGCCTACGATGCTCCCACGCCCGGTGCAGGCCTCAGCGCACCCACACCCGGAGCACTCAATGCCCCTACACCAGGCGCCTACTCGGCCCCCACACCTGGAGCCGTCAACGCGCCAACGCCCGGCGGCTGGGCCGGCGGTTGGGGCGGTGCGGATGCTGCTCCGACCCCAGCGGCCGCTGCGCCCACACCCGCTGCCAGCGGTTTCTCATCCGGTGCGGGCTACTACAGCGCGCCCACACCAGCGGCATACGGCGCGCCCGAGACACCCGCAGCGAGCGGTCCTCGCTACACGGATGACGATTAGAGCTCCACTCACCACGTGTCAGTTCGGGTTTCGGAAGCATAATGGTGGTATTAGACGGATGGCTCGGAGGGACAGCATGGCTTGCGCGTCGCGAGCAAGAAGCGCGGTGTGGCAGAGCACAGGGCATCGCATAAGAGATTGTCACATGATTGGCAAACAAAAGATGGCTCGGCCTGGGCGAGGCCTTGAGGGGTTTGCTGCGCTTGGTATCATATTGTACAGTAACACAAAACAGTAGTAGAGCAATCGCGTCAATTTGCATCCGACCACAACATTCAAAGAGAGTCCCATGGGTCTGCCGTCCATACATGCGATATCGAAGTACCTACTTGTATTGATGTTGCAGCTTCGATTCTTTGAGGAATTGTTTTTCTACTTCGGGTCACTCGAGACTCGACAGTGTCACCTGGTTTTCGGGCGCGAAAGGAAGGCCCCTGTGCCTTGTCTAGGTCAGCAATCCAAAATTCATTGTGTCGTATACATACTATTGAATGTGCGTCATAACTTTAAGATACTTGCAGCTATGCAGTCTCGAATCATGCCAGCTAGTGAGTTCTTGGTCCATTATTGTCATCGCCCTGATTCTGCGGCCATGGAAGCATAGCAGCCCTCCGAGGTGTTGAACCAACAGTAGTCGGTAGAAACCACACATGTCTGGAATGGTCGTACCGGGGAAGAGTGCGAGCCTGGAATCGGAGCCCACGGTGGCCTCGACGGCAGGCCATGGGCCATCAGCGCCGTAGCCCCTGGATGACCATTGCGCTTAAAAATGGGGGCTTGTGCGTTGACTTGAGAGACATCAGAAAAGAGAAGGAAGTAGAACATGGCGCTGATGAAGCCTAAATACTTGCCTCTTCATGCTGCCATCGCGGGCTTTCAAAGACAGCTTTGCGAGCCCCCTGCTGGTGTTGAGCGGACATGAGACATGGAATCGGTTTCGAGATGTGAATAAAATGCTTCGGAAAGGGAGAAGGGGGCGCAGGGACCACAAGAATCACAGCAAAACTTGGCCAGCTCAGCTGCGAGTGCCTTCCCCTATGATTTCCATGCACATGGCAAGGCGAGGTAAATAAATTGAGCGGGCTTGGAAGGGATCCCGAACCCTTGAGCCACGGCTAGAGGAACGGGTTTCCTGCCACATGAAATCTTGCATCCTGCACACAGCGCACACAGCCCAGGCAAACTCCAACCCAGTATACAACAGGCTTGCATGACGGCTGATCTTTGTACGAGAAACACGTCCGACCCTGAACCCGTCTCGAGTGTCTGTTGAGTTACATGTACTACCAAAAGACCGTTGTGAGTGGTCACACGTTTGGTCCCAGTGGATACTGCAAAGTCAATGAGGCTCGTCGGACAGGGGTCAACGCAACAGACAGGGCGCCCAAAGCCTTCTTCCCGACGGCCGTCGAATGACCGGGGTCGTCGTGTCGAGTCGAAAAGGAGTCTTTTCGCCTAGAGAAAAGGTTATCTCACCTGAGGTCTCTTAGACGAGAAGGCCAGTTCGTCCCTCGGGAGTTGCCGTGACCAGCACGCGTCTGCCGACGTGCGACGCCGTGTCACCCGTTCATAAACTCAAGCGTTCTCCCCATCGTCAATTTCGCCAGACAGTCTGAACACTGGAATCTTCAAGCGGCCTCCATTTCGTAGCCATGACAGCGCAGTCCTACCGTTCTCTGATGCCCCCTACATACGCGCGACTTTCTGCCGCGGAACATGGCACCAACTCACCTGACGGTGGCCTAGGAAGCAATCCCCGCCTGGCCGCGCTTCTTGCCTCGAGACGCTTTCGTTGGATTGCCTGCCTGGGCATCTTGATCACCTTCGCTTTGCTTGGTCTACCGGGCCATGATCACTTCGCCGGTTCGGTGCCAGCACGAAAGGCGGGACAACCAAGTATTTCAAAGTCCTCGCCGTCAAAAGCCCCTGACCATGGCCATGACTGGTCGCGCTTCGCATACATTCAATATGTCACCAACAGCGAGTACCTCTGTAACTCGGTCATGTTATTCGAGAGCCTGTTCAGGTTGCAGAGCAAAGCAGACCGTGTCATGATGTACCCCAGGCGCATGCTGGAGCCCACGGCATCCGAGAGTGCCACGCTCGATGGTCGTCTTCTCATCAAGGCGCGTGAACAGTACGGCGTCAAGCTGGTGCCCATTGAGGTTCAGCATAGAACCGGTAAAGATTGTATGTGCCCACTTCTCCTCTAGGTCCCTTCCCTTGTACACCAAGTGGGCATTTTGCCAACGTGTGATCCCCCAAACCTCTAGCAACATGGGCGGAATCCTTCACGAAGCTCCTGGCCTTCAACCAGACCAGCTACGATCGCGTCCTCTCGCTCGACTCGGATTCGGCCGTAGTCCAGAACATGGACGAGCTCTTCCTGCTCCCGCCCTGCCCCGTCGCCATGCCCCGCGCCTACTGGCTCTTCCCCGAGAAGCCCATCCTCGCGTCTCAGTTACTACTCGCCACCCCCTCTGCGACCGAATTCGCCCGCATCCAGGAGCGCGTCAACGCTGCTGGGCCGGATGACTACGACATGGAAATCCTCAACCAACTTTACAAGGACACGGCCCTTGTCGTACCCCACCGTCCGTATGGCCTGTTAACGTCAGAGTTCCGCGCGACGACGCACGAGATGTACCTCGGCTCCAAGGATGAGGTGTGGGATCCGGTGGCTGTCTTCAACGAGGCCAAGTTTGTGCATTTCTCGGACTGGCCTGTTCCCAAGCCGTGGCTGCCGACGCCCGAACACCTGCTGATCGAGAAGCAGCCGAAATGTGTCAAGAAAGAAGATGGGAGCGAGGACTGCACGGCTCGAACAATCTGGAACCGTATCTATGCCGAGTTCAGGGCGAGAAGAAAGGTGAGTCTCTCATTGTGTCCAACTATTGTCTGCTGGAGGCGTGCTGACCGGCTGCAGGAAATTTGCAACCTTGCATGAACATCTAGAGACGCTGCGACGGATTGCAAACCGCCCTTTCAAGCCGCTGCTCCATCTGATGAAGCTCACTTCTGGAGACCGTCCCAGAACTGGATCACCATGTCCAACTCTTGGCTTCAAAGATGGGAGGAGCTCGTCCCTTGCCGAGTCCACGGTCATTTACAAGACTCGTCACGACCCGTCTTCACACTTGGGTTATTTACGCAGTCCCTCTGCCGTCTTCGGAGGCGCGATGACCGGTGTCACTTGCGCTTAGTGATCGGCTTTTGAAGGTTTATCTACAGAATACGTCGCAACCTTGAAGCCTGCACTTGCGCAAAATCTTGGGATTCCGGCCCGTAATGGTAGTCAAGCTTTTGCTTTGACTCTCTACTTGCGCATGGCTTCTGCCGCTCTCTGTGCCCCGAATCTAGGACGGGCGGCATGTACCCGTCGACGGTCCTACTATCAACGAATGGCGTCGCCGGTGCCCACGCAACAACGACTGCGACTTGGGCGACCCATCTCCGCCTTTGACATGGATGAAGAACAGGTGCCCTATGCTGTGATCCACTTCAGCCCGCACTGCGCATCACTGTCGCGCCGGCTTGAAGTGCTATAATGCTGCTCACCGACCAGAGGAGGCGACCCTTTCGCAATTGTAAAGGCATACTCGTTGCGAGTGGGACACATTTAAGCATCTCTTGTTCTCACTCGAGACTGCTCTCACTGGTACCATCAACCAAATATTGCACGGAGGAACTTGTCCGGAGTGGTTTGCCAGAGTGGTGTTGTACGGAAACTCCAGGCAGATGTCGAACGAGGCGCTACGATTTGATGTTTCTCAGGAAGTGACTCGGAGAGGAGGATGCCTCCGTAAGATATACTCTATATCCAAGATCCGTGTCTGAGATGTGTAGATTTAGAACAGAACAAATTGTCAACACTCTCAGTAGAGCCAGTCTGTCGAGCCTCATGTTCTGTGTATGCTGACACACCCCGCTCTCTCATTTGGGATCACGGCTGGCATGTCGAGTCTCCAGGCCTGCCGCATACCCAGCCTAACGTTGCCTGACCTGGCTGGTCCCCGGATATTTCGCAATTCTAGCGGTCGATGTTCGCATCATATTCCTAGCCTCTCGAGCAACAGTCCAATTGATCATTCACCGCCTCAGGGGCCATCCACGCTCTCCGCGCCCACCAGGCTATGTGTCCTCGCGTCGAATCCTCATAGTAAACTTCCCTAGCGCATCACTGGACATTCGGTGGTCAGATTCCGACATCAGCAAGCCACATTTATACAAGCTGGGCCATAGACCCGAGCTCAGTGCTACTCAGTCGCCTCTCAGGCTAAAAGCAGCGAGGCTCCAGGCCGCAGACGAGGTCTGTTTACCCCGCGCCCTCTCTCCGACTTAGCCGTTAATAGAGCGTCCAGAGACACGGCCGTCATCTTGCCCCGGCCCGGAGGCCCGCCATGTGAACGAACCCCGTGAGACGAGGATCGGCTTGGCCGAGCAAACTATCGAAACAAGGCAGCTTGAGGTTTCGCCGCGTCGAGACCCTTTCACGAGGTGATTCCTGTGATCAAGGAGATATGGCTCTGAGTCTTGATTAGGTAGGTAGTCTATGTTGATAGTAAAATCACCGCCCACTCCGTGTCGGTCGGACCTAATCGCAAGTGGCAACATTCGGTACATTACCACCCCAGCGTAGCACTTTCAGCACAGCTGAAATGCGCATGAAAAGCGCATGGTGACATGAGAGTCCACCGAGGTAGCACTTCAGGGCGAATGGCTTCTTCAAACACAAATCAAGTCGGTGATTCCATAACGAGGGCAGACCTTGGCGACGTCTAGGCCCCGTTGCCCAAGCTCCGAGGTGTCCCATTGATGCTGGACAAATTGACTCGCTGATATATGGGATTTTACCCGACGACAAACCCCGCGATCAGGGTCCAGTGAAATAAAGAAGTCGCGACGCCCAACCGTGGTTCCATGGCAGCCATTACATCTCTAAAGAACCGTGCAACGAAAACGACACCCATGCCCCGGGGCGTATAAAGATGGACAGCTCAACGGACTCCGCTTTCCAAGCAGTCGCCCATCTCAGTCCAATGCGATAAGTCAAACATCACGACACACTGCGCCTGCGAAGACGACATCTCCCAGCTCAACAAACTCACCTCACCGCCCTTTCGCCACCATGGTCCGTCCCTCTACCCTCCTGACAGCACTGTGGGCTAGTGCCGCCGCCAGCCTGCGCGTGCGTTCCGTGGTCCACAGCGGCAAGGGCTGTCCGCAAGACACAAAGGTGTCCTGGTCATCCGCGGACGAGGCCTTCGTCTTCACGTTCCACGACTTTAGCGAAACGCTCGCCGCCGGCACGACGACAGCCTGCCAGGTGCACGTCCAGATCGATGAGGGCGAGGCCGGCAAGACCCTGCTCGTCGAGGATGCGACGCTCCGCGGCGGGCTGTACGTTAGTCCTGTGACCAAGGCCGAGTTTCTCACCGTCGCCTTTTGGTCGGAGAATGCCTCAGATTCGGTAAGCCGGGTTGCGACTTGAGCTGAATGAGGCGAACCCGAGAGGTGGCGCTAACATGAGATCACAGACGTCCAAGGAGTCGACCATCGCGGCCGGTGCCGGGCCAATCTCGCGCAACGTTGCAGTCTCGCAGAGCCTCGACTTTGCGTCGAGGTGCGTGGGGAGCGATGGATATGTGGGGATCCTCAATGTCAACTTCCGCATCGTGGCACAGGGCAGCGGCAAGGTCACCTTCGGGCGAGAACGTGGAAGTGGCGCGCCTGTGACCGAGGTGCTGAAGTACAAATGGCAGAGCTGCTGAGCGGATGATAATGTCCGGGTGGCAGCATGTGTGGAGATGTTAACATGGTCGAGAACGAGAATGAGCCCCGTCTTGCCCGTCTAAGTTGAAATAAGGGGGGGCGGACCGATCTTGGGTCTCATCAGTCGCTTGTGAGCTCGACTAGCCGGGGCGATGGTAGCTAGCCAAATTACAGTCTGGGTGTTCTCGACCCAGCTGCAAAACTTCGATTCATCACGAATTGTGGATGCTCGTGGAGTCGCAGGGGTATTTCTCGACATGCAGAAAACATCACCATGTTAGTCTGCCCGATATGTAAGGGGCACTCGGCTTTGGCGATTTAGGGTAGAATGCAGATTCGCGGGTCGACTGGAATACCGGTATCCCGCCGCCAAGCTCCGCTTCTTCGTCAGGCATCTGCTTCCGGCCACCCATTACACAGCACGATTGCACCGCTGTCCGACAGTCAGGATGGCACGATGATACCTTTTCAGCGGAGACACTGACTTGCGATAAGACGTCGACTGGCCCGGAGGAAGGTTTCTGACCCACGTAAGCACGTGGATAACACACTTCTTTGGGTGCCCACAAGATGATCAGCGGCCTTGAAATTGGGTTGGTCACTCATCCCATTCGAGTCTGTGGAGCGCGGAGACAACTCGGCGCGGCTTACTGTAGGGCGGCATCCCGACATCTTTGGCTGGCGACTTGTGCTGTGCTCTCCTGAAAGGCTCGAGTGGGAAAACGAAAAGTCTTGGAGGAGCGGGGAAGCTAAGTGATGAAGTCTTGATATGTGCCAGCTGCGCTGAGGAGACCCAGGTACCGGCAGGACGCAAGACAGCGACGGCATGCCTCTTGCGCAAACAGTTACTCGGTGATCCGATTTTGAAGCTGTAACCCCCCATCATGTACCTTCAGTAGACCGCCAGCGGAATCAGACGGCAAGACAGCCTGCACACGCACCAACGTTCGAATCGGAAAGAACGTCATCTCTCACGGGAATATATGGGCTGGTGGTGGTGAAGCGTAGTTTGTATGACGATCCAAGTCTCAACTTGGCAAGGTTCCTCGCAACGCCCCTTGCAAGGTCCCTTTTGCTTGAAAAGCAGTATGACATCAGTGAGGTGCGGAACTCCTGCATATGGGCTCTTTGGTGATGCAGGGAAGCTGAAGGAAGGGACAGTTGGAGGGTCGGTTGGTCGAGCCAAGAAATACCCGAACGGTCGAGGTTCGTTGTTCAGGGGTCGATATCACTGACTACCGTCCATAACGCTAGCGTGGATCCGCTGCAGGGAAACGATCGCGATCGGCCGCATGTGGCGTGGTTGGTCGGGATGGCGCTGATTGGCGTCGCAAAGTAATAGAAGGCGTGTATGACGGAGATGCCAAGGGTACGATTAGTACGACGCGATATGCTGGGCATCTCGAACAGGAGAGTCAACTGAAGGCTTCCGGCTGGCATCCCCAAGGCCGTGGTTCACGAGAGGTCACGCAGTCGGGAGCATGAGCGGCATCATTCCGGATGCATGGCGTTGGCGAGGCACAGACGGTCACAGCTGCGCAATGAAGGTCTGGCGAGAGTTGAGAGCAGTGGGATAAGAGACAGAGGAGCGACAAGCCGCCGAATGCTTCGCCGAGTCGGGGATCCCGCGCGCCGAACGACTGGTGGTGTGTTAGCCTAGTGCCTGGGCGAGTTCACAAGACGATCCTTCCAAGCCTGATGGAGGGAGCGAAGTCTGGTTTTTTTTTTTTTTTTTTCCTCATTTCAATGTACGCAGTCAGCTCGTCCAGAATACCCCGCCAAGCTAGGAGGGCTGGTATCAGACCAAGAGCATGGCAATAAGATGAAGCATTCCCGTGGGACGCGGCGTGGAAGCAGCGTGAGGACAATCATAGTGTTGGCCTACAACTGGCGCCTGTTTGATGGCGAATTTTGGCGCTGCTTGGAAGAGCATAAAGCGGTGAATGCGTTGGGGCGGTAATGCATTGGGGCGTTGAATGTCCATCACCAAGGCCAGGAAGGTGAAGATGGTTTCGCAGGTCAGGGGCGCGGAGAAGAAGCGGGCCTTGAGGAGAGCAGCGGTCCAGACTGTGAGCACCAACAGTGCTCGATATGTCTTTGGTGACGAATGCCGAGTGTTTGCCAAGCCACTCTGCAAAGGATGAAGTGATTAGATGGCTTGGGATGGACAGGAGGTGGTTGGATGGTCGGTGGATGAGATGCTTTCGGACGTCGTAGTCGCTGCCATGTAGTGGTAGTGGGCCTTGGTGGGGACCGGCCCGCTTGTTGTGCCGATCCGTAGCGCGCCTCGCGCCTGCCCGCCGTCCACAGTGAATGAACGTTCGACTGCACCCCTCCGTCGACCTCCCAGTCTATGGCGTTTCCCATCTCTCTCCTTGCAGAGCAGAAACATCTTTGCTGCTTTCTTCACACCCAAGGAACCCCAACGAGCCAAGGATCATCTCCACTCCACCACTTCACGCCTTCCTTCAGGCTCGAGAACGACCTCAGGCTCGAGAACGACGAGAACGACCTCATGTACAAGTGTACGCATGCTTATCAAGGCTCTTTCCCTACACGAATGCAAAAGACCTCTCGGACACGACTGACCCTTGGTGCTTGGCCAACCACTAGCCCTCGAGAACCTCTTGGCTTCTTCGACTGGGACTACCATCCTTGCGTTTCTCAGCTGGCCGGGCTGCTTGGCCTTGCATTCGTCCCGTTCGCGACTATGCCGACCGGCACACGTCCGGCACATGTCTGCTCAATTTGTCTCCTGACGATAAGTATGACGTGAGCCAATGCTGACGTAGCCTTGGCAATGTTCGCCGCATTCACCATCTTCTCTACGAGCTCTTGACTTCTGCCGTGGACAATGGGATATGCTGACTGCACGCCAGGAACGTCCTACAGCGACCCAGGGCACAAGAGAGGCAAACAAGGCCCCCGGTGCTAAGCAAGACCTTGGATGTTGTGGCCCATGCTCGACACTGGAAGCAGTTGACACCAGCCATGCTCAATACCCTTGACCAAGGCCACGTTCAATTAAGGTCCCTGGAGAAGAACCCGCCCGCCCGTCACCGAGCCTCCGCCACTTATCTAACGCCTCGATTGTCTCGGCCGCCGTCTTCGTAGCCTTCTGCGCCGGACCCGGACTAAATCTGTAATGCCGCTCGGCTCGAGCTAGGTATTCGAACGGCCGCACTGCATTGGCCGTCCCTCTTATTGCAGTCTCACACTTATGTTTCGCAGCAAGCCCACGTCGACTGACCATGGCCTGATATCCACCGCTCAACTTCCGCTCCTGTTGGTCGTCCTGCAGATTACCGGGCGAGGCGATTGGGGCGACTAGAAAGACTGGAGACATTTGGACAGACAGCCGGCCTGAGAAATCCTTTTTCCCGTCGGGCGCGCCGTCTCACGGTCTCGACTTCAGCGTTTCCACCGTTGGATCCACCAAAGTACTACCGTTTGGCACGCCAACTCGCCATGCCGCCCACGCACCCCTTCTCCATGGAGGACCAGGCCGCGTTGCGCTGATGGCCAGAGCCGTCACTGAGTGGAAACCCGTTCTCATGATCATCCGACATCCTGGGCTGGGGGAATGCGGTCCACTTCCCCATGCTCCACCAGGCATGGTTTCTTGGTATCACTCGGCGTGGTAAACGTCTTCGTCTGGTGTCTTGCCTGTCTCCTGTTTTCGTTAGTACCCCCCCGGTATGATCCCCAGACGACCCTTGACTTCTTAAGGGGTCATCCTCCCACCAGAATCTTCCTTGTGCCTTTGCTCTCTTCGTTCACAGTCTTCCCTGTTGTCGAGGTCTTCTTCGTTAAGCCCTCCACAAAATATCCTCATCATCATACTTCATCTGCGACTCCTAGGCTAAATCGACACAGACAAGCCTTGACCCCAGGCTTGGGACGTGTTTCAGTCATGCCTCCCCCACGTGTTGACGATGAGGCTCCGCCAACAGACCTCACCAACGACCACCCCCGCATGGGAGGCACCAACACCAGCCGCAGCAGCAGTAACAATGAGCCCATTACTGATGAGAAGGTCATGCATCAGGGCGGGCCTGGCGGTCCGGACCGGCGCCGCCGCAGCTCAGTCGCCGCTCTGCTTCAGAACCCACTCGCAGGCTTGACCCAGGACCAGGTTCTCGCCGACGTCGACAACTTTACTCAGAGTAAGGGTTTGACGGAGTACCAAGAAGTCTTCCGCAAGGGCGCTCTCGTTGCTCAGGTCAACAACCAGGATGGCGCCTTCGAGCGCATTGACGCACTCGACGAGGACGAGAAGAATGTCTTGCGTAGGGAGCTGACCCACCGCTGGAGTCAGCCCTTTATGCTGTACTTCCTCTGCACTCTCTGCGCCGGATCCGCCATTGTTCAGGGCATGGACCAGTCAGCCGTCAACGGCGCTCAGGACTTTTACTTCCAGGAGCTCGGCCTGGCAGACATGTCAGCAGAGATTCGGGGACTTGTCAACGGTGCCCCCTACCTCTGTTCTGCGCTCATCGGCTGCTGGGACGAACCCTTTTCTCACCACTGGTTCGGTCGTCGTGGGACCATTTTCATCAGCTGTGGCTGTCCGTCATTACCGGTTTCTGGCAAGCCGCTGCCAACAACTGGTACAACCTTCTCATCGCCCGCTTCTTCCTTGGTTTCGCCGTCGGCGCCAAGTCTTCCACCACCCCTGTCTACTCGGCCGAGTCCACACCCAAGACCATTCGTGGTGCCCTCACCATGATGTGGCAGATGTGGACGGCGTTCGGCATCGCCCTCGGCACCATTGTCGGCGTCGCCTTCTCTGGAGTGACAATCTTCGGCGAGGAGACTCAATGGCGTTGGATCATGGCCTCCACCTCCATCCCTCCCCTCGTTGTCATGGTCCAGGTCTACCTGTGCCCCGAGTCTCCCCGCTGGTACATGGAGAAGGGACGCTATGCCAAGGCCTTCGAGGCAACCTGCCGTCTTCGATACACCAAGGTCCAGGCTGCCCGCGACATGTACTACGCCTACAAGCTGCTCGAGATCGAGAGCGCCGAGCGCGAGGGTCGAAACTGGAAGGAATTCTTCACAGTGCGAAGAAACCGCCGCGCCGCACAGTCCTCGTGGTTTGTCATGTTTATGCAACAATTCGTCGGTGTCAATGTCATCGTATATTACTCCAGTTCGTTTATCCCTTAGTCTACAAGCTTCTACGGGTATAAAGCTAATAAGATGACAGTGGAAATGTTCCAGAATGCCGACTTCACGCGGGACGAGGCTCTTCTCGTCACTATGGGCACCGGTCTTGTCAACTGGTTGTTTGCTATTCCGGCCATTTACACAATTGACACGTTTGGACGCCGCAACCTTCTGTTGGTCACCTTTCCGTTGATGTCGTTCTTCATGTTCTTCACAGGCTTTAGTTTCCTCATTACCGAGCAAGCTGCGCGTCTGGCCTGCGTGACGACGGGTATCTATCTCTTCATGGCTGTGTACTCGCCCGGCGCCGGTCCGGTTCCGTTCACGTACTCGGCCGAGGCATTCCCGCTTCACATTCGCGATATCGGCATGTGCAGTGCCACGGCCGTCACCTGGGGCTTCAACTTCATCATCTCCTTCTCGTGGCTTCCCATGGTCGAGGCGTACGGTGACACGGGCGCCTTCTGCTGGTATGGCACATGGAACCTCATCGGCTGGGTCTTTGCCTACTTCTTCTTGCCTGAGACGAAGAACCTCACTCTTGAGGAGCTCGACAACGTGTTCAATGTCACGAATCGGGAACATGCCGGGTACTACCTGAAGAAATTACCATGGTACATCAAGAAGCATCTGCTCTTCCAGGACGTCGAGCCCATGCCCCCGTTGTACGCTTTTGACCAATCGTCGCCACACGACAAGAAGCACGACCTGGCAGCCGCCGAAGCTTCGCACAATGAAGGCGTTGTGCGCTAAGCGGTTCAATGGAACAACATGGCGGTGGAGAGTTCGCATTTCATTGGTGCGCATGATTTTTTTGTACTGATATTGCTTGTCTCGATATGACGAGGCGAATATACCGATGGGGACGAACTTCTTCATATTCGATATCTCAAAGTTGATGTTAATTAGAATGAAGTCTCGAAATCGCATATGCATGTATGTACTCGATTCAAGGGGCGGACAGTGCGAGCGCTTCATCACGCCACGGTGCCTGGCCTTCACCAAAGCTTCGAAGATGCTCTGAAGACGACGCATCGATACGAGCTTCTGGGAAGCCCCGGCACTGTTCATGAGATTGAAGGTGGTACTGCATTTCTTGGACGGACGACCGACTCTAGGAGGAAGGTTTCAGGGATGATCGATTCTCATTTGGGCCTTCAAGCGGTGTTGAAATGCAGGTCAATCACACCTCAATGCGCTGACCTTCCGATTCGGGCATCCGTGCCGGACTCTGCACTGCCGCGTCGGCAATGGCGTACGACGATGCGAAGCCGTTGCGTTTACATGATTGCAAGTATAAGACCCGACAGGTAGAAGACACCCAGGGCATTGAGAGCCGAGTCTCCTCCCTGTTATGTCGAGTCTCAGGCGCATTCTTTTGACACAATGGTCTTGCTGAGCACGTTGCTGTCGCTCGCGGGTCTCGCAGCCGCCCATCCCGCGCGCGGGCCGGCCTCCTCCCCGCAGTGGAAGAATCGCGCGGCGGCTCTCAGCAACTATCGATTTGGGGCTGCGTCGAATTATACTTCTTTTGACGTCTCACCGGCCAAGGGCTCTCAACGCATCAGGCGGGAACGTGATGACGCCGTTGACTATGTTGACATTGCGACACGAACACTTCGGGACGCTGTTCCCGGCGCTGCTTTTCGAGTGATAGACGACGCTTATGTGGGAACCAACGGTGTTGCACACGTTCATTTCCAGCAGACTATTGGTGGTGTTGATGTGGATGACGCCAGCTTCAATGTCAATGTAAGTTGGATAGGTATGGCTTGCAATGATGGGCACGTATCTAATCATGCCCGCTGCCATAGATCCTCGAGGACGGGACTGTTCTGTCTTTTGGAAACTCTTTTGCCAAGCGAGACCTGCACAGAAGAAACTACGAAGAGGTAGAGCGCGACCCTCTTGTGGCCTTCAAGAGCGCCGTCGAGCTTTTGAATCTCCCCATCACCAACGCTTCGAGCGCTACCGCTGAGCCAACGGACGAGGCAGGGCTGTTCGTCATCCGAGGTACAAAAGGCTCGTCCTCAGATCCGAAAGCCCAGCTGGCCTATGTCCGACATGAAGAGACTGTTTTGCTAGTCTGGAGGCTGGAGACCAACATCGATGATAACCAGCTACTCGTTTACGTGGACGCCAAGACCGGGAAGACAATCTCTGGTGTTTACGATTCTGTGAAGACTGCGAGCTACGAAGTCTAGTAAGTTACTCGGCTTTGTCTTCATCATTGCAAACCGCCAAGCTAACAGGACTTCCAGCCCCTGGGGATCCGGCAACCCGACAGAGGTAAATCGCAAGCTCGTGGTCAACCCTGAAAATACGGCCTCGTCACCCTTCGGCTGGCATTCCGACGGAGCCCAGAGCTTTACAACGCTGCGCGGCAACAATGCCTTCATCACCTACCCCGGGGACAGCACACCCGTCAATTCTCCGTCCCTCGTCTTCTCCTACCCCTACTCGCCAGTCGCCAGCGGGGAGCGGTACACCGAAGCATCAGCCGCGCAGGGCTTCTACACTGTCAACAAGTTCCACGACATCCTGTACGCTCTCGGCTTCAACGAGCCTGCGGGCAACTTCCAGACGAACAACAACGGCAAGGGCGGCGCTGCCGGAGACCCCCTCAACCTCACCATCCAAACCATGACGGGGACGGCCTTCATCACCGTCCCCGCGGACGGCACCAGCCCCCGGATCCAGATGAGCATCTGGTCCGGCAGCCTCGCGCGCGACAGCGTGTTCGAGACGACGGTCCTCCTCCACGAGTACATGCACGGCGTACGGCCCGGGCTCGTCGGCGGCCCCGGCAGCGGGGCGGTGCCTCAGCAACATGGACGGCCTCTCGATCGATGGAGGGCTTCTCGGACCTCGTGCCCACGATCCTGCGCGTCCAAGCCGGGCGACACGCGCAGCAGGGACTACACCATTGCCGGACTGGGTGACGGCCAAGCCGGTGGGGCTGCGGTCGGCACCACATCTCGACGAGCATGGCGACGTCGTTGCTATCATTAGAGTCGCTGAACCGCCTAGTCGTCTCGGGGGGCTTCGACCTGGCCACCGTCTGGGCGTCGGCGCTGTACGACATCTTCTGGAACCTGGCCGACGCGCACGGCATCGGCGGCGTCGACGGCGTCGTGCTCGACGCCGCCGGCGTGCCGAGGGGCGCGCGGTACCTGCTTCTCAAGCTGGTTCTCGACAGCGAGGCCCTCATGCCGTGCAACGCGAACCATCTCCAGGCGCGAGACGCGTTGCTGGAGGCCGATCGCGTCCTCACGGCAGGGGCCAACCGGTGTGCCATCTGGAAGGGGTTCGCGCGGCGAGGGTTCGGGCAGAACGCGACGGTCGGTAGTGGCACGCAAGGTCGTGTCAATGGATTTGCGGTCCCGTCTGTGTGCTAGAAGCCTGTATGCGTCATCAACCGGACGTTTTTTTGCTGCATCAACAAATAAAGTTGGACCTAAAGTGAGAATTCGCCCGTGTGTCTGCCGTGAACAGGACATAGGCGAGGAGCGGTAGCAGGCTGGAGATATGGTCTGGGCCTGTCTTGTTCTGTCCAGCATGGCTGTTTTCTAGATATATGCCATGGTATCATTCGATGATCAACTCGTAAAATACCATCTTCAATATCTGCATCAGATAGAACGCTCGGAGTAAAGATGATGATGATTTTATTGCTCCTAGATGCGCCGTTCAGTATCCGTCATAATGGCACATCTTCCTTCAATGACCAACGGATTCAACAAGTCCAGAACCATCGTCGACGACCACTCAAATAATGGAGGTCCTGGTGCTTTCAGCCTCGGTGTGCGACGAAGCAACGAGGTCGAAAGCCAGTAGCAACACCATGGTGTTGGTCGCAGTGTAATCTAGAAATACCACTAACCCCCGCTGCCAGCTCATTCGCGGCCTGACTACACATTGTCTTGCTCACGATATTCCGAGTTTCTCCTCCTCCTCACACTTAGTTCTGTTCGGCGCCAGTATAGACTCCGCAACGACAGGGTTGGATCGGTTCGGCCCGCCCCGGACGCTACCAGGCCACTCAGGGATTTCCCACAACCAGCTTGCGTCACCATTGCGATATGGATCGACGTCGGACACACCTTGCGCCAATCGATAGCCAGAGCAGACTACTCGCTTCCGTCTACGACCCGGCTGTGCTGCCTCCTCGTGATCATCGGCTCGGCATGTCATTTTACGCCACATGGCTACGGAGGAGGCATGTCAAGTCAAGAGGCCCGATAGAGGAGATGTTCTTGGGTGATCATCAATACAGTTAACATCAGAGACATGAACATTGCTGGCTTGGATCGAGGTCGGGGGAAGGAAAAGACACATTGAAGAGGGTATGGGGGAAACAGACGAAAAAAGAACATCAACAAGTCCAACAACAGAGAGTCATGGGCCGTCCCCAAGTCCGAAATGAGGGCTTGCTCGCACAATGAGGATAGCTTGTGCCACCGTCCCACACCAGACAGTCCAAACATAGAGGCTGCAGCCACACATAGCATCGGGTAACAAAAAGAGACGTACAGAGAGAGGGGGATCGAGAGAGAGAGAGAGAGACACCACACACGCATGCCACGAAGCATGTAAGATACCGGGACACACCCAAGTCGACGACCGCTTGCACATGCACCACCAATCCATAGCCCTTCCACAAGACGCATCAGCTGGCCAAAACAACAAGCTCTCTACCTCGGCGGCATCCGCGCGCCAGCGACGGCGAGGTGATCCGCCGCCGTGTTCCCCACATTGTCGGCATGCCCTTTGACCCAGGTGAAGACGGTGCTCGCGCCCTCGGCCTCGCGCGTCTCGATGAGCTCCCGCACCTCCTCGACGAGGTCGCGGTTCTTCACCGGCTCGCCTTTTGAGTTGTGCCAGTCCTTCTTCTGCCAGCCCTTGTACCAGGACGTCACGCAGTTGATCGAGTACTGGCTGTCGGTGAAGATCTGCACGTCCTGCTCGTCGGGCGCGATCTCCAGGGCTCGGATGATGGCCGTCAGCTCCGCGCGCTGGTTCGTCTGCGGCTCGCCCTCGAGGCGCTCGGAGAGATTCCTTTGGTGCCCAGAGTCAGTTTCCGTCCAACGAAATAATCATGATCGGGGGGAGGGGGGGGGGAGGGTTAGTCCAGTGCATACCTCGCATCGTCCACGCCAAAGAAAACACCCACCCCCGCCGCGGCCCCGACCTTGCCGTTCGCCAGACTGCTCCCGTCCGTGTAGATGGCCAGCATGCCCTGGCCGACGGCCTGCTGCGCGCCGCGGGCCGTGGCCGTCGTCTTCTTGGTCAGCGCGGCGCTGCCGCCGTGGCCCCCCGTCACCTTGGCGACGGTCGCCGCGTCGCCAAACTCCTCGATAAACTCGACGGCCTCGGCCCTCGTCTCAAACTTTTTGTACTTGGGCCCCTTGCCCTTGGCGTTGAGCCCAATGGCCTTTTGCGCCGTCGGCCAGTCCGTGTAGATGCCCGGCTGCTCGCCGCGCGCCACGGCGTAAAACTTGGCCGGCTGGGGCGGTCCCGAGGCCGGCGGCGCGGGGTTCTTGCCGGCCACAAAGGCGAGCGCGTCGTCGCGCGAGAGGAACGACTTGTCTGCGTTTTCATACCGGTTCTCATCAGCTTCCTTTCTTCTCCTTGCCATTTTTTTCCCCTTCGCATGAGAGAGGTCGAGCAGTGGAAAGGCCAGGGAAGGGAAGGGAAGGGGGGAGGAGGAGAGGGTTCATGAGAGGGATCACCGGGAGCTGGGAGCTCAGGGCAGAGAAAAACATACACTGCGCGCCTGCGAAGCCGTTAATCTGCTTCTGGCACTCGGGCCACGTCAGGTAGACGCCGGGACGCACGCCCGCGCGCACGGCGTAGTATTTTTGCGCGTCCTTGTCGGTGCGGCGCTTCTTGGCCGCAGGGGCTTCGGCCAACGTGGCGGTTCTCTTCTTCGCGTCCGGCATGATAATGTCGGCGACCCAGCGGGGGAGGATGGGTGGGGAGATGCGGAATGGCGCGTCGCTCGCCGTCAAGCTGGTGGCTGTAGTATAGCAACGGAGGGCAGTGCTCCTGGCAGCAGGAGCGGCAGGAGCGGCAGTCGGTCGACCTATATGCTGCTGGCGGGTCGCGAGGCTGCGGCGGTTCGATGGCTCTTTGTCGGCGAGGAGGCGATGCGCTTTCGGTAAAGCACCAGGTACAGGTGGGCGCGGCAGGAGTCAAAGACGTTTCATTCTCAGACGGGATAGCAGAGCAAACAATACTTGCCAGGAATTTCGCTTTCCTACAGCAAGTGTGGATGAA